ATATTGTAGTTTTCAGTGCAATGTGTCCCCAAGTCTTTATTATCAAGGACTGCTTATATTATTGCCATCCACCCTGGTGTTTAAGCAAGAAGCCTCAGCCGTCTGCTTGCCCTTTCCACCTGATCTCCCACTCTCAAATTGCTTAATTGCAATGGGAAAAAGTATAATGTGATTAATTTTCTCAGTATACCTTTCTACATGTGTATATTACATGCTTGTGACTTTGGAGGTACATGATCTCTCCTGATGAAATGTGGATATATTTCTTCTTTATAGTCTAGAAAGAGAAATATACAGTAAGTTAGAAAATATAGTAGTGTTCCCATTGCAATCCCCATTATTAAATTGCTCTTCCCACCCACTGTATGGCACGTAGATCCACTGCTGCAAAAGAAGATCTCCCAAGGCAGAGGCACTTTAGGTTTCAAAGGCTATACTTCAGGGGTACAGGAAACTCTTCCATGTGATGTACTTGCTTATCTGCTTTTATATTCTGTCACATCCCTTCCTGTAAATTTTAATCATCCAAAGGGCTTCTGCTCCACCCTTGTATTCTTGAAGAAGCTGGCCTGGATTAGATACTCCTAGAACTGCCTCCCTGAATGCCTTCTTGTGTTGATTCCCTCCCCAATGTACAAGCCAATGTACAAGCAATTGAACCAGTAGCATTGATCTCTCTCTCTCCCCTTCCTGTTCCCTTAGTGCTTTCCAGGGAGGGAGGGAGGGAGGGAGGGAGGGAGGGAGGGAGGGAGGGAGGAAGGAAGGAAGGAAGGTTTCTGAAACTCCCTGCCAACTTCCCACAAGGAAACTCAATGGGGAACCCAACAGGAAGGTGTAAGTCATTTCCACTCCCACTGCTTTTTTGTCCACAAAGGGTCATTCTGTTTTTCTGTTTAGATTGAAGATTATTATTATTATTATTATTATTATTATTATTATTATTATTATTATTATTGTTGTTGTTGTTGTTGTTGTTGTTGTTGTTGTTGTTGTTGTTGTTGATAGCATTTGATGGAGCACAGGTTGTCCAGTAAATAATAATAAACAATTAACCTGCATCAGTTTCTGTTGTGCTAATGTATAAGAGGAAAATGGGCAACATCAATTTGTTGAGAAGTCACCATTCTTGCAAATATGCAATTTTTTTATTTGCATCAAGTAAACTTTTTACCATGAACAATAAGGAAAAGGACTCCATATTTTTGTTGTTGCAGCATTTCCACTTTGAGCCTCATCAAAGCCTCTTCTACAGCGTCAAATTGTACTAGACAACTATAAATATTTTTCATTTCTTTCCTTTTTCATTTTTAGAAAATCCAGTCTCTGGTGATGAAACTAATTCAACTAATTCTCCAAATACTACCATTGCTGAGAGGTTGACGACAATCATTGCTCCTAGCTCTGCTTCTAATATTACCTCTTTAAACTCTACTGCTCCATCATTAGAAGGTAAATTGGCTTCAACATTTCTATGGAACTAGCTTGAGTCATTTATTCATTTATGATAAAAACATAACTTTCTCAAAGGGTTGCCATTTATGTTTTCTCAGAGTTTTCCCATCTTTTCTCAGACTGCTAAAGTTCTGACCTACATGGAAGAAAGAAGAAAATATTGAAATGTAATTTTCATTGAATAATTTTTGGTGCAGTTTCCCAATTTCTCAAGAAACTGTACAACTTTTAAATACCTTTCATCAGGAATGAGATGTTATAAGTATACTTTAATTTTAGTTCTAGATATCAATTTATCACTTCCCTTTCCCCAGTTCCAGGCTATTATTTTAAATCAATTGTTTAGCTAGTGCTAAAATGCTTTGCTTATTATGCAAATGTATTTTTAAACATCTGAAATGTTCAGATCAGACTTCACTATCATAGATCAGTTCAAAATAAATTTAAATTAAGACATACAACTCCTAAATAGTGAGACATGAAAGTAAAGAGCAGAGTTCACAACTGCGAAGCCTAAATATGAGTAACAATTAAAAAAAATAGGCTAAAACTAACAATAAACAATCTCTTTGTCTGGATCAATAGATATTTGAAACATGATTATTAATAAATTGCAGCTAATACTGCAGACAAAAAGACAACATTTAGCTATGTTCAGTAAGATAAAGTTCAACTGATCAGAAAGCAATAGATGAAGAGAAAATGAATCTGAGTAGTGACTAGGACATTAGTCTAAACATAGGGATAATAGCTTCTGACGTGAAATAACATAATGTGAACAGTACAATACAACACAAAGCAACATGGCTCAATGTCAGTATTTTTCCTGTGCCAGAGGGACACAGTCTTCACTCAAATGGAATCTCTTCATATCTCCTCCTCAGTGACAGCTGTTGGGAAGGCATTAAATCTAGCCAAAGAGAAAACTCTTAGAGACCATTATTTGATTAAGATATTGTGATGGTTAAAATGGTTGAGAGAGATTATTCAAACTATGTTTGGGTATGGCTGACTGATGCATCTGAAGCTCCAGGTCAAAATGTGCTATTTGAGATCATTAAGTGTACACTCATAACCCATTAAAAGAATAGCCAGCTATGAGAAAACTAATAGGACGAGTAAGATGATATTATTATTATTATTATTATTATTATTATTATTATTATTATTATTATTATTATTATTATTGTTGTTGTTGTTGTTGTTGTTGTTGTTGTTGTTGTTGTTGTTGTTTTGTTGTTGTTGTTGTTGTTTTGTTGTTGTTATTGATAATAATAATAATCATCATCATCATCATCTTCAATTTGATTCACAGTCTGGACTGGTAAAAACTTAACAGTTCAAGTCTTAACCAAGGACCTAAGAGCTGTTAAGGTAGCACATGAGTATACAGGCAGTTCCGAGTAGGGTGGTTTTTTGCAAAGTCACAATATTCAGGTCTAATAAGTTCAAAATTTCCATGTTTCTAGGCAGCCCTTTGGGTATTTCTCAAAGGGCTTATTATTATTATTATTATTATTATTATTATTATTATTATTATTATTATTATTATTATTATTATTATTATTATTTACACAAAAATGTGAAAGCATACACATCAAGTTCTTTCCAAGAAACTGGGATGTTGTAATGTACCAACCTAGTATATATGCAGATCCAAGTAATGTAGCCTTTTGTAATAGACAGATGGAAATCTTGTATCTTTATCCAATTTCTCTTCATCTTTTGTAGAAATTGACCATGTATTTTTGTTAGTGAGCCAATGTTTAGACTGGATTTGGCATTTTTATCCCTCAATCAAGTCCTTTATTTCTTTCCAGAGACATCAAGTAATGTTACCAAGCCAGAGACATTTGTGCCCAGCACATCCACAACAAACTTAACTTCACCAAATACAACAGCTAAGTCATTTACTACACAGGGGAATGCAATAGTGACTACTAACAATGAGACAACGACTCATAATTTAAGCTCAACATCACTTCTAACACATGGTCCTACTGAGCCAACAACATATAATTCCACCATCTTTCTTATTACATCCATGACTGAGAACAACAATGTGATGGTAAGATTGTGAAAATTTAGGATTGATATGAAAAGAAAAGCGATTAAGTTCCCTTATTGGGATCATTATTATAAATCAATGATTGATATATTAATCAGTCTCATCAACACGGCATTTTAGTTACTTTTGTAAATGTGCTACCCTATATTCTTCAGCTTCCTGGATGATTCTCATAGGTGCCCATTTATTTCTTTGAATCCCAGCTAGGCTATTGTTGTTCTTATTTCAATTTATTGGGGAAGAGGGTGCAAGAGGATGGATGTGTTTACATAACTTTTTTCCTCAGCAGAGGAAGCTCCAACAGCTCATTGGCAAACTGCCAAAAGCACACATGTGCAGGAAAGAGGGAACATAAATTTACAACTCCCAGCTGTGGTCTTCTCTAATGTGCTTTCCCACATTCAGATTTTTTATAGCATTTGACATTCAAACACTGATTCAACTATGTGGTGTTCTACATGGCCGTTTTACTAGCTACTACTACTATTTTGTGTTCAGAAAAATGTGAATTGTCACATAGTCTCATCTTGCTATATGAAAATGTATCTGAGTACAAATAAAACTAATTCAGTGCAATAAAATTGTTATTGCATAAACATGGGCCTTAGTTTGAATTTACATTGACTCTGTTCTCAGTATTGGAATTACAATGTTCCTAAGACAGTAGGAACAGTACAGTAGCATAATCCAACCCTTCTTTCATAAATCTGATAAGTTTTATTACCTTTGAGGAAGTTCACCTATGATTTCTACTGGATAAAATTTATGTTTATGTTTATGTTTCTTTGGTTTGACATCTCCATTTTAGGTTACCCAGTATTCACCAATGGTCTTTTCAGCCATGTAATGTTATTTGTCTGATGGAAGCACTTGAAGTTTTTGAATTATGTCTCCTTTCAGAAAAGAGCTGAAAGTTTTCTAACATAATAGAACCATGAGACTATTTCCTAAGATAATTATCTCCCACATATGGCTGCCAGCCTGAACCTTGTGATTATATTCACAGGTATGGCTCAGTGTGTCCCCACCATATAAGGTGAACTAGTATTTTAGAAACAGCCTTCTTGAAGTTGGTGTCTCTATTGTAGAAATGCTTTCTCAGAGATAGTTGCCTAACACCTTCTTTGTGGTCAATTTTGCACCAAGTTGCTGGTTTGTCTGCTTAATATACCCATTTGTTTAAAATTACATGTCAGCATAAAAAGACCTTTTTAGTCATTTTTGTTATACTTTAGGATTTACTTTTCCCACAAGAAAAAAATATTTGTGCTTTTTTCTGTCACATTTTAGCAACATTGTTTATTCTTTTTTCTTGAATTATTCAATAAGCACATATCAATAAAGGATAATATATGTAATTCAGAATTGAAATTAGGAGTCCTTAGTGCTCTCTGAACTTAATTGTTTTCTTGCAGACATTTCATTACCCAAACTAGATAACATCATCAGACTAGTAGTGATGATGTTACATAGTTTGGGTAATGAACCATCTGCAAGACAACAACCAAGGTCAGAGAGCACCAAGGACCCTTCAAACACATATCAATTAATTGGTGATTTCACAGAAATGCTATTAGCAAATGAAATAGCCAAATGACACCAGACAAAGGGAAATGCAATGATACACTCTTCCATCCTTTCTTTCTTTAGTTCAACATCACATGTGTGAAAATCAAGCAGATGCTTCCTGCCACTGAAGTGGTATGCTTGGAACTCCATGAAGCCCAATCCTGTGTAAGTAGGCAAGGAGGAGAAAATGGCAAGGGAGGCATTCATTACAATGGAGGGGGGTTGCTTTGCTTTAAGATAAAAAGTTGTGGGGAGGAGTATAATTTCTTGGTATGGAAGATCCAGCTTGGAAAAGTAAAAAGTGAGGGTTATCCTCCACCCATCTTTAAAAAATAACTGTAATTGTTTCTATTCAGTGCAAAACCGCATTTGGTTCTAGACTTGGACAATGCTTTGCCCCTAATACTTCATGCATTCCATTTGTTAAGTTTATAAGTTATCCAATGGACTCCAGCATCATTTTTACACACCAGGCACTTTTTCCACTACAGCATCCATACTTGTAGGAACAGCATAAAGCTTCTCTATGTGTGTAAGAGGGAAGGGGAAAGAGTATTGGCTCATTTGAGCCCAATAGCTGGAAAGCATAGATATCTGGGCAAAGAGCAAGAAGGATAAGTGATGAAATATGCACTGTGAGATTATGAAACAATCTATCCATATTTCTATGTGATATTGTGAAGCAAGTAAGTTTTTGCATGATGATGTCTGGATACCAATTTCTTAATTTTAGCATTATTGTGGTTAGTTTTTAATGTATATCCTGGAGGGTAGACCAAAGTTAGAATTTGTGGTATCCTGTTTTTATAACAAGGAAAATTAAGCTGAATTGGAGGGGAGGTTGCAAAGATTTGCGAAACTGATTAGACATTGACTAGAAAGTGTTAAAACCAGTTGGCTGAGAAACGTTTTTTCAGGCAGCAGAATGTTGGGGTAAAGCAAGAGGTCCAGAAATGGGAGACTAGCCTCTCTTCAAGCCCCACAAAATTTCTGTCTTGCAAATCTTGAAATGAAAGTTTTGCAATTTGAGTTGGACTATAGCTAAGCCAGTAAGCAATTATGTTGAGCACGCACTGCATTGAAAGTTTGTGCTAAAGTAATATTTTAAAAGATCTGAAATGTGGCAGAATGTATGAAATTTATTTAAGCTGAAAGCTTTTCAAGAATTATGCTGAAATAAACTCCTGCAAGAGCTCACTTTTGTAGCATAGGCACCACCTAGTGGGTTGATATTTAAGCAGAAAAACAAGTAACACAATTGTGTCAATAATTTATTTAGAATTGTGATAATATAATGCAGGTTAGTTACCCTTTAGCTACATTCATTTACACACTGTATTGGGGATCAGCATTAGGTAAACTTCATCAGATTTGATCATTATTGTTATATGAGTTACTGTACATAATTAAGAACCAGGCTTACTCCTCTACAGGATTGACATAATTCATATGTTCCAGTCAATGTGTGAAATTAGCATTTTATAGAATGCCAAAAATGGGACGCTCTTGTCATTCTGCATAATGCCTAGGTATACAATGCCTAGGGAAAGTAGACATTTCATATTTTAAAACATCTAAAAACGTTGAGCATTCTACAGATTTTCTAGTGCCAGCTTTTCACACATTGCCAGTAATGTATTTATTGAAATCATTGATTGGAAAGCCTGGAAGCTGACGTTCTGATACATCTGAAAGACACCAAATTAGGAAAACTGCCTACAATGAATCAGGATGTGAATATTGTACAGATGTAGCCTTTAGACTAAAGTTCTGGCTTTGTCATCACAACTTTTGATAAAGGCTTGAAAGCCTTGGAAATCACATATTAGCATATCCCCAATGCTAAAACATTGATAATATTATTCAATAACAGTTCTGATATTACTAATGGCTTGTAGGTTTTTCTAAACTATTAACAATTGGCTAATAGTGCTATACTGGCTAATAATGCTCTATGTAGCATTCAAAAATAGACATAATAAGCAAAATAGTTATTAACTAATGAATAATTGTGAATATTAATTTGTCAACATGGAGCATTATAACATAGTCTATAACAGGAAGTCACAAACCAGTGTTTGATTTCCATCTGAAATATTGTTTTTATTCACTGGTATATGGACAGTTTGTTTTTTTCATGAACAAGAATTTTCAGTGGATGACTAAGAACCCAGGTCATAATATTTCCTTTAATTGTGATGACCATGCATGCTATTGGAGGAAACATGGGTGATGGTATTATAATAGTATGATGAACAGGAAACTATTATAAAATTCATCTTTGAATCATCTATTTTTATGGTTTTTCATAAGGAGAATGAAACATGAAACAATTTCAAGCAAAATCTGTTCCATAAGTGAACATTCCAATTATAAACTTAAATGGCACTTTATAATTTATTGTTTTATAGTAATTATTAGTTTATTACTCTATCCTAATTGCTAAAATCTTGCACCAGCCTCCATCAATGGGAGAGAGATTATGGTAGCTGATATATCTAGAAGGCATAGTTTAAACATATAGGTTTATGTGCACCTACATTTCTTCATAGAGATCTTTTTCACCTACCACAGAAACTAAAAAGGTACTGTAATGTATTATTGTCCTGAACACACACATAATTTGCAGCTTTATAGTTTGGCTAATTTTTACTGGAAATTGGGATCAGGCCTTCTTCTTACTTTGTCTCATACATTATTTTTAAGACTGATTGCTGTGTCTGAGCCACAAATAGATAGAATGAACCCTTTCACTTGTTCGTCTTTCTGTCACACTTTTTCCACTAAGCTGCTTCATTCACTAGAAAGGAAACTCTGACATCCTCTCAACAATTCTTTCCACAGGAAAAAAAAACAAAAAACATAAGTGTTTTTCCTCAGTATCCTGAACTAATATTTGTGGGAATGGTTTGGCTAGGTTTTATTTGCATTTTTCCATTTTCCATGCATAATGCATACTGTGATTGTTTACATTTTTACTTCTATTGTGTGGCTTTTGTTTATTCCATTGGGTCACATTAAGTCACCACTTGAGAATTTTGTGAAGCCAATTAAACCACCTAAAGATATGAATTGATATCCGAAATCCTAAATAAATTGATATTTAAAATCCTACTCTAGGTGTCTATCTATCCATGAATGTCCCAGCCAGTTGAAAGTTAGATACAGGGAATCCTCGTTTAGTGACTGGCTCAGACTGTGACTGCAGTTATGACAAGGATGAAAACATAACTTTGTAAATTTTGAAAAGCTGAAGTAAGACTTTAAGATATTTGCAGTTTAACTTATCAACTGCTTTGCTTAACAATCAAGCTACTTGTGTCCAACTGTAATTTCTAAAGAAGAATTATATGTCATTCAAAGTGGACTGGGATGGAAGATTTCTCCCTGATAATTATTTAGATAGACAGACAGACATNACAGACAGACATTTATATTTTTGTTTTATTTAAGGGGAAGTACTGATGATGCTTCTTGTATAATAGATTGTGATTAAAAGTAGATTCGTCCTCTGTAGTGATGCTACCTGTGAATTAAATATTGCACATGGAAGTATTTATTTTTACAAGTTAGCTCCATTGCACGAGATTTAAGGGAGGGCAGAATTTCAGGAAGTTTAGTATTCTTCCACACAGACACAGCATGAAAAAAATGGTCTTTTTCTCTCTTGCGACCCCAACAATAAAATTTTGTGTGTATGTGTTTGCTGTAGAACAGATGTTGCATATGTCCTGCTCTGAGAGGCAGGAGGAAAGTTCTCAGCAGCTGCCCAATTGCTTTTTTCATAATTTATCAGGAATGGTTTTTTCTCCACAGCTCCCAAGCCAGGGGTGTCAAACTGCCGGCCCGCAGACTGGTTTCATCGTACCGGAGCCGTGCCCACCCCATTGCCGACAATGGCAAAAAAAGCTCCGATACGTTGCACGACGTCACGTGACGTCACGAGTTTGACATGTCTGTCCCAAGCAATTCTGGCCCATTTAAAAACTTTCTTTTACCTGCTTCTCTTTGGTGTCATTCTAGTCAGTTTTCTTAGAATTATTGTGCTGATGAACAAACAGATGAACAGAATTCCACCCTTTGTACATATTTTTTTCCAAATTCCACAATGTTAGAAAGAATTAAAGAAAATTCTACTAGCTGAATATATACTAGACATGAAATATTCAACAACCAGAGGAAGACTCAGTCTTTTTTTCAACTTATTGAACCAGCCTATATTTCTAAATTGCTTTAGATTAGTTTAGCCTAGCTTTTCTGAGTCTGACCCTGACCTGTACATCTCCTTTGATGTCCAAATTGACTAAGTGGAGGGGAAATAACTACAACCTCACACTTTTCTTCCTGTCTCCTCCACAACTGTTTGGGAAAGGCGACATTTTATTTTAATCTTTATGTGGGAAGATTTTATCCTTGCAAAATGTGCCATAAAAGAACCATCTGAAATACGCAAGGCATTTCTGAAACAGGAAGGCCAACTCTGTTCTTGTTATTTCCCTCATCTCCTGCCTGGTAACAGTGGAGAAGGATACAGTGCTCATAATCTCAAAACATTAAGAGCTGCTTTGGCTGATTCAGAATATAGTTGCAGAATGAACAGTTATCATGATATTAATTATTTAATCAGCAAGTTAAATTATATTTAATTAGTAATCAGTATCCACAGAAATGTGTTGACAAATATTTCAGTACATATTCTTTCTGTTTTGATTTTTTAACAACTGGACATCTAATCCTCTTCATCCACTATACTTCAGTGAAGCAAATTAAGAATCACAAGCATATAGTTAAAACATGCTCTAAACTTTGTCTTATCTTCTGTAGGTCTGCTTTCACATGCTATAATTTATAATAATCCATCTCATTTGAGAGATGTGCACATTAATATACCATAAAGAATGTTCCTATGCATATATTTTTGATAGTCATAATAGGACATAGTGATTCCATAAATGGAGCTGCTGTGCCTTCTTGGAAAATTGTTCTTAATGTTTGTGGTTTCTCTTAACCTTTGTAGATTTTGAGCCAAGAAATCCACAAATAGCTGCTATTGGGAGGATAGACTGTAGCTCATGGGAATGTTGTTATGTTTACAGAAGCCAATGATAATTAATTTGCCACTGGATGTTGGGTTAATGTAAAGAAAACAAATGAGAAAAAATGTTCTACAGAAGTAACACTGTTTTATTTTGTTTTGTTTTGTTTTTAGGAAAACTTTAAAAGAAACAAGGGGGAGGGATTGAGCAAATTAGTTTGCAAAAAAAAAGAAGTACCATGTCTTATTGAACTGGCTGACTCTGATGTGAATCACCAATGCATGTTGTTGCTTGCAGTTAACAATACAGGTTAGTTGAACTGATTTATTACAGCTTGCAATCAAGTTGAATACCAGCTATGAGTGACTTGTTAAGATTGACTAGATTTCACATGTCGCATGAAACCATAATGTTATCTTTGGCTGATTGAACAAATTTTATATATAAAATACATTAGCCCCAATCCAGCAAGTATATATAACACATTAGCCCCAATCCAGCAACCCTTGCTATAGGTTAGCACGATAAGTAAACCCAATGTTTTTGCTATCTTCTTCATTGTTAGATTGGGGTGTGGGAGAATGCAGAAAGTATTTGAAAAACCAACTATTTTAAAATGTATTAGATGTCCTCAATTAGGTGTTACTTCTGTTCAACAGCAAATTAAGGTCAGGAAGTGATTTAGTTTGTTTGTTTACTTCTCAGTTAGTCTAGAGGTCATGGGATTTCCTTGTGATCTCACATCTAAGTGCTAACCAATCTATTCCAGCTTAGCTTTTTCAAGATCAGCTAAATGTGGTGGCCAGCAGCAAATAAAAAATTATAACCCCTTCCCCCCCACCTTCCTGTCATTACTAAATTCAAACAAATAGGAGGTATATATCACAAGAACAATACTAATTGGAAACTCTGACTGGGTTCACAGATTGCATGGGCCATAGTGTTATTTGGTTTTATTTTAGCATTTTATTTATTAATGTATTTATTAAATTTGTGTAAACACATTCAGTTTGATTTGCAAACGATTGCTTATAACTTATTTATGTATTTTATTATGCTTGCATTTTGTCCATTCTCATAGGCAGCTAAACAGAGGTAAATAGATAAAATACTCCCCAAATCCTTAAACAGATATAATTATTTTCCAGAAGCACACATATAGTGTGCCCTATCTTTCAATTAAAAAAAATAATCTTCATGTGCAAGACAAAATGGGTTGGTTTTCAGTTTTCCTGGAGCCTAAAACTGATGTGGCACTTCCATTGGAAGGGAGTTTCAAAGAATGCCTGCCTTTAGGGTCCCATCAGTTATAATCTTGGAGTGATAGGACCTGGAAGAGTTGGTTTTATTTATTTAGGAGCCTTGGTGGTGCAGTGATTAGAATGCAGTATTGCAGGCTAACTTTGCCCACTGCCAGGAGTTCAATCCGGCTCTGCTCAAGGTTGACTCAGCCTTCCATTACCTCCGAGGTCAGTAAAATGAGGACCTATATTATAAACTGTCCAGAGAGTGCTGTAAAGCACTATGGGGTGGTATATAAGTCTAAGTGCTATTGCTATTGGTATATTATTTGATTTGTTTGGACAGGCAAATGAATTAAGGAGAAGATGGCCAGATAACCAGGATCAGATCTATATAGGTTTTAAATGTGACAACTACCACCTTAAATCATATCCAGAATTCAGCTGGAAACTAAGGCAACTCCCATTAGTACTGCAGCTGCTCAGCTGCAGTTTCCACAGCTCCTTCAAGGGTCATCCCATGTTGAGCATTTTGCAATGATTTAATAGAAGTGACTACAGCTTTAGTGACTATGAGGAAGTCCTCCAAATCCAGAAAAAAAAGTTGTAATTGTACAAAAAGGCTTATCTGACATTTGGTAATTAAATGGGAGAATTCTCAAGTTGCAAACCATCTTTTAACAAAGAAATACAACCTGTTTAGAGTTTTAACTAATGGATATTCCCTGCAATTGTTAGATTTGCAGATCCAAAGCCACTCCTTATTGGAGGGATTCAATTAAAGTGTGTTTCTCCTCATCCAGACCCAAACAATCTCCAGGGAGTTAGTTAACAATTTTACTGCATATCTACTCATGGCTATGGTGTACACTATATATCAGCAATATATGATGATGCTATATTTTATCATTCTAGTCAATTGTGGCTTATTTAATAAACCACAGATATATAAGCCATATATAACTTTGAATAAAATCTGTGCAAGTGAAGCTGTAAATGTTAAAGCTTCTTTGCTTGATAAATAATTCCAATATGCTCTGAAAGTAAACTTCAGTTTTTCTTTGCTTTAGAAAATATAGGTGCAGAAGCATTGTATGGCTTTCTGGATGACAAGCAACCTGATTTGAAAGTGGTAATTTATTCATGCTTTTATATATACAGTAGTCGTTGGGTGAGACAGAATAAAAAATTTAAAACCTAAAATATTACAGAATCTGAATAGTATGCTTTGTATGTCAGGATCCTGTATGACTAAAATCATGTAAATGAACAGTGGTATATTTTCCTAAAGAATGTGGAATAAATTGTCAATATTTTAATAATAATCAAATTGCTATAACAAGCAACTAACTGTAGGAGTTTCCCAACCAATTTCCAATTCACTGTTTTTAGAAAACAGACCAAAATGTAACACTTTTAAACATTAAGCAATATGCATTTTCCTGGATTTGAGGTGTTATCGAAACATCAACCAACAGTTCCATTGGCTTTTGTGCATCTACCCTGCATGTGAAGAAACCACTTTTAGCTATGGGAATTGCCAGAGAATTTTTCCAAAGACAAGTGAAACTGTTTTCATGGAATTGTTTCATTCATGAAAGACATAAATGGCTTTCAAAATGTGCAGAGTTCTAATACATAGTGCAAAAGAAGTTCCAAGAGTTTCCAGAAATCGCATCCTGAAAATTAGTTTCCTTCGTGTTGTAACTTAACATACAAAACATATGAAATACACAAGACTTCTCTCTTTCCAAACTACCTTCCCAAACATATCCTAAAGCTGTGTGATTCAATTTCAAGAAGGTTCAGCAATTCACATTTTCACACTGAGTCTTCAGATTGAATTCTTGAATCATTTGAAAGAATCAGTGAATGAGGTGCTTTGAATTACTTTGGATTAAGAGATTTGATGGGGTTTTCTTTTATGTTGCTGTGATTTTCCTCCCAAAATGTACAGCACTATTCCGCCTATTGTGTCTCACTTTTGAATTAGACTTAGAATTTGTTTAGGTAGGTTTACATGGAGTGCAACATTTATTGTACTGGTGGTTGGCTGTTTACACTAGTTTGCTCTTTCTTATATAATCCTCTTCCTCAATCCACATCCTTTTATTATTGTATTTCCTTTACTCCCAATGTACTTGTCTAGCCTGAAATATAGCCAGTTGGCACATGTGACCAATCTATCTGCAATTGTTTATTGCCGTTATGTCGTTAGTCCTCCCCTTTTATGCCTTTTCATTCTCTGCATTCCTTTCAAAGTTTTTTTAATTATTATTTTTTTGCTATTTTTGCTTTCTCTGTCTTACTTTATATTCTGTAAGTCTGCCTGTAGCCTGTATTATATGCAATAGGTGAAATATGTAATAGTGATAACACAAAAATTTATTGGGATGTTTTTAAATTGTTGCCCAAGCATTACATAACTCATCACTCCCAGAAGAGGCTAATTCTGCCTCTTCCGCTTTTCCAGGAAGCCACCAGCCCAGAAAGATAAATGACCAAGGATCATAGAATCTTCAATCTTTAGTAAGAACTTACTATTTAAAACTGTTTTTGAAAGGCTTTGTTCTTAAGGTTTAACAGGGCATTTTGTCAGCCCCACTTCCCCATAAACAGGATATTTTAACTCCCTAAACAGTTTGGAGCTGTTAGGTTGTCCTTTCCTGATTCTTGCTATGTCTTGTTTAAACAAGGTGTGAGAGTATTTCAAAATGAAAGCCTTCAAGCTATCTGACATTATAACAGGTTAACTGTGTTAGACTAGGGTACAAAATTGCAAATTGCTATTTGCATTCCTGGCAGGTGTTTTCATGCTTCTTTGGTTCAACCTATTTTGTTTTTTCCTTTTAGCTTGGGATAAAATCTCACAAACAGGAACGCACTGAGATTCACCAGGTCCATTCTCGGAGAACCCTTATTGCCTTGGTCACCATCGGCCTGCTGTTGGCATTTTTGGGATTGGCTGGATATTATCTTATGAAACGACGAAGCTGGAGTCCCATGGGAGAAAGGCTGGTTAGTGCTTATAGTTGGCAGAACAAGTAGAAAGCTCAAGGCATATAACAGCAGTTGCAGAGAAAAATGACAGGATTGCTATTCTTCCATTACTATATATTTGGGCATGTGCAAATATTGTTCACAAATATTGTTTTGTTTTTTTTTAAAAAAGAGTTTCTCTCTAAGGAAAATATATTTCTCTTTAAATAACTTCTGTCATACAATGAATTTCTGTAGGTCACTTTCATTAACCTGGAATGCAAACAGAGCTCTGTAGAGTTTCATAGACAATTTTCAAAAGGTATTTTAGAACATTTGGGATGAGCACCTGCAACACCTTACAGAAGCTGTGTCTTTTCCCAGACCTGAATCCAAAGCAATCTACAGCCCTACCATATAGTATAAAATCTTGACAAATTGAATGCCAAAGTGTCATCACAACAATAGCTAATGAATGTCCTGTTATTCCATTTATTTACTTTCTGGACTATACATTATGTAGACTACATTAGCTTTCAGAAACTAAACTATCATTCCATTATTGCAAATTAGTGATATTACTGTCAGTTTCTATAATCAAGAAATATAGATGCAGGTGAGATTGTAGGCAAAGAGTCAGAGCAAGACCTCTTACAATTCATGGGGATATGCCATAGCTTTTTGCTAAAATCTGTTCTCTGAGCAAAAAAACTCCAGATTAATTTTCTGATGCTTCCATTGTAAACAATTTCTGGAAGTAAGCTATGAATAATTTTTCTGCTCCAAACCCTGGATACCAGAATAAACAATGAAATTGCATACTGGATTCTCAGTATTACATCCAATGTTTCCTTTTATTGAAATAATAATAATAATAATAATAATAATAATAATAATAATAATAATAATAATAATAATAATAATAATAATAATAATAATAATAATAATAATAATAAAGTTGGAAGGAACCTTGGAGGTCATCTAGTCCAACCCCCTGCTCAGGCAGGAAACCATTTCAGACAAATGGCTATCCAGTCTCTTCTTAAAAACATCCAGTGCTGGAGCATTCACAGCTTCTGGAGGCAGGTTGTTCCACTGATTAATTGTTCTAATTGTCAGGAAATTTCTCCTTAGTTCTAGGTTGCTTCTTTCTTTGATTAGTTTCCATCCATTGCTTCTTTTCCTGCCTTCAGGCGCTTTGGAGAATAGCTTGACTCCCTCTTCTTTGTGGCAGCCCCTGAGATACTGGAAGACTGCTATCATGTCACCCTCATCCTTCTCTCCATTAAACTAGACATGCCCAATTCCAGCAACCGTTCCTTATATGTTTTAGCCTCCAGTCCCCTAATCATCTTTGTTGCTTTTCTCTGTACTTTTTCTAAAGTCTCAACATCTTTTTTACATTGTGGTGACCAAAACTGGATGCAGTATTCCGTGTGGCCTTACCAAGGCATTGTAAAGTGGTATTAACACTTCACTTGATCTTGATTCTATCCCTCTGTTAATGAAGCCTAGCACTGTCTTGGCTTTTTTGGCAGCTGCAGCACACTGCTGGCTCATATTTAAGTGTTTATGTGTACATGTTTAAGTATACATATTTCTGTTGAATTTTTTGTATTATTATCATTGATCACATAGGCCACTGAAATATACTTCATACATGAACAAGGTTTCCCTCTTCACCCTGCCAGGAATACTTTTCTAAATCCCTGATTGAAGGGCCTGACTGAAAGAACGGATATTTATTTTATTTTCTATATAAGTCACTTTGTTGATCTTTGAACAGCTTAGTTTAACTCTGAATTTTCTTATTATTTGTACCTCCAACCCCTTTAGGGTGAAGATCCTTATTACATCGAAAATGATAGCCACGGCAATCCTGAGATCCCTGTAGCCTCTCAAGAACAATCAGGCCTGCAGGATAAACCAAATCTCAATGGAGGGGCTCGGGAAAATGGGACTGGCCAGCCATCCTCGAAAAATGGACACCAAACGAAGCCCCAGGTTGTGGCTGACACAGAACTGTGAAAATACTCTGACCTTTTTAATGCAGCTGGAAAAGCTCAACTGCACTTACAGCGGAGCTAGAACCAAAAATTCCTAAATGAAATCGTAATACCTTTTTAAAAAAAAAAAGCTTTACCATCTTATACTAAAACATTTTTCAAGGGCTGACGCAGCAGCATTTGTGTATGAACACTGTAAAATTAGCAAACTGCTTCAATGGGATTGGGTATGTTTTTAATAAACGTGGAGTTTGAGGCTTTTTTATTTTTTCTATTTTTAGATGTCATATCCTTCACAACTGTTCATCCAGGGAGACACAAGGCATGTTTTCTAGAAATTAAAGATTTTTCACTGTTTGAGAGTTGTTTAATATCTATCTGATGCTGTTTAGAGTAAGAAAGGACATGTTCCCCTTTTAAAAATGTAATTTTAATTTAATTTTAAAATATAACAGAGATATAACATCTAGGGCTTCAGAGTAGTATGCAGCTGAAAGTCCCTAGACTTTGGTAGAGTATCACCACCCATCCTCATCTCCAACTAAGACTGTCATTACTGCCTTTCTGCATTTGTGCTGTGCTGCAATTTGTATATAACATAAACTGATTGTAACTCATCAGAAGCCTTTTGAAATATGGCTGAAGCAGTTCTTAACACAAAATAAACTCTTCACTAGCTTTGCTTACTTCAAAAGAACTGAGTACCTTTTCCCTTTAAAGGCAATAGGAAATATTAGGAGACATCTTTTGTAACATGAAAGTGCAGTATAGTGGGCAATTGGCCTAAATCTCACATGTTCGGTCTCCTTCAAACTTTGTTTTCATTGTCCATCCACTGTACATAAGAACAAGCAAACAACTCTTTTTCCTACATAGCATTTTCTAGATGCTTTGGGACTGTTACTATCAGAATTCACAGCAAGTATATCCTTTGAATTCCAAAAGTCACTGATATTTTTTTAAATTAAAGGAAATAAGTCTGAAATGTTATTCTTAATCCAGATATAGTTAATTACATTGAAATAAAGGGTGGCATCAATTGTAGTTACATTAACTGGAGGTCCATTTTTCAGAATCCTATTTTAACATCCTAGGGTTTGGATACAATGCAGTTTGCTTCTAAATAGACATTTATATGATGGCATAGAGCCTTTGAATATAGTTTTCAAACAAAACATGTGAGAGTATATTTGTAAATGTAATGCAAATGCAAATATAGCTATATTTAAGTTGTATGCTTAAACATATCTAAGATCACAATAGTCATATATTTTAGGCTAAATTAAGTATTCTAACCCTCTTTTCTTCCCCCAAATATTTTTCTCCGTTGCCTTTCTTCCCCCTCCGTGCCCATTCTGAAATGTATTATTATTTGAATATAGAATGCAGAACAAAAATGTGACTAGGCTCTGAAATGAATTATCTTTTTTATACTAATTATCATGGATATGTTTGTTTTAACTGGAAATAATTCAAGAACAGCTAACATGAATACTGCCTTATTTACACTTGTCACTGGAAGCATTAGCTAGATATGGGATAATGAACATAAAAATAAGTAGCCCACTAGGGAAAGGAAGATATTTCTTCTTTTTAATTCAAATTTCCCTAATCTGCTTTTGTCCAGATAGGTTGGAACCAGAATTCTTTGCCAAGTATTGTCCAAATGCTGGTGCTAGAGAATGAATCAATTATTTAGTAGATTAGTATAGATAGTCTTAAAGTTTACATTTTGTGTTAAACAAGCAAACATGATTGTTAATATGATATAAAAGAAGCATGTATATTGGAATCGTCTCTAATGTAAACTATGCATATCATCTTCATAATTTAAAAAGGCAGCATATGTATATTTTAATTGTTACTTAGTACCTGATTTTCAAAATGCTGTTTTGATTGTTTGATGTATTTAATTGAAAAGCTGTAATGGGCAGAAATGATTTGCCTTAAGCTTGTCTCTGAGTTCTTGGCAAAAGTAAGTTTTCAATTGAGATATTCTTTTGCAAAGATACGGAGATTAAATGATTGTAGGCACGACAGCATAATTTACGATAGTGTAAGAAAAAAAATCAGAATACACAGGAATGGCTCATGACTTGTGTTAGGCCTTCTTTGCACATTATAGCAAGCTTCTTCCCATGTTGTCCATTTTTAAGACAGACTTAATTAGAAGCTGTTCACTGCACTAGAATACCATTTATGGGAATGTGAGTACTTCTTGGCAAGATAAAGGCCACAAACATCTCTCACATGAACCAGGATTTTTGCGGAAATATCATGGTGTGTGATCCATTTATTTGCTTGGATATCCATATATATTCAAGAATTTTCTCCAACACCAAAGTTCAAAAGCATCAATAATCTTTTTATCCTGCTTCTTCAAAGTCCAACATTGCTTACACAATTTTGATTTTGATAGAGCATCTGAGTATCTTTTCCAAAGCTTTCATTGCAATTCTATCAAATGTCTGTGGTTTATTTCTTGACTACTGATTCCTTTATTATTGATAATCAATCTTAAAAGGGTTGCTCGCAAAGACTAGCATATTATTCAGTTATTGATTGCATTGTACCCAAAGACTGCCTTTCTACAGTATATCTTTCCTGGCTATGAAACCACACTATTCATTGTTTTTCATTCCTTAGCAATGAACAGTTTAATTCTTTGACCAAATGTGCACAGTTCCAATCCATTTCACTTTACCAATGCCTAAGAAGCCCGGGTGTAGTTGATTTGTTTTGTTTTTCACACTGTTGAACTTTCTTACATTCATGCCGTTTATGTTCCATTTTCTCATTGTAATTCTGCCTTTGCAGCTTTGGGTTTTCTTTTCCTGTATGGGAATGTCAGCAACTATATGCCCCCAAAAACTTTATTTTAGCTGCATCATAAACACCATTATATTTCAAAAGATCCTCAGCAATTCTGCAGTAGCATATTGAATGCCAACCCATCTAAGGCTATCTTGTTGATCAGTTTATGACCATGCCATAAGGAATATCTAATTTGGCGGCAAGGGACAAATGAGCCCATTTGAACATTTGAGAACATATTGTGGACATTCTGAAATGGTTATCTTGGGGGAGTATGAGAAATCAAAACAGCTGTTTATCAGGCAGCTACTCATCCAAACTGAGCACTGGATTGTAGCTCAGTGATACAGAACATTTTCAAAGAGATGCTTTGCAGAACAAAACATTACCCAGCATCCACAAAAAGCTACATATGGCTGACTCATGCTGAAATATTTTGCGAACTTTCCATGGTTTCTTCTCTTCATATATGCACATACTGTATATGCAGAAGATACGTGTCTTCTGCAAATCAGCCAGATAAAATAATAGAGTCATGATGAATCCCTCCCTCCTTCCCTTTCTCTCTCTCTTTTAGTCAAGACATCAGTTGAAATTAAATCACTCCTTAATTGAGATAGATCTGCAAAGTGAAGCAGTACCAATTCACACATTATGCTTAGGGAGGTATCCAAGGTCATATTGGTATCTGTGGCATCATTCCGTAGACTGAATGCTGGCGAAATAAGCATTACCAAAAAAAGTAATATAATATGGGTGGAAAAAGAAAAAGAGGACAAGAGAGCACTATACTGTGGAAATGGTAAGGCAGAGCTGGGGAATCTTTCAAATAATCCTTCAAAATAAAGCATATAAAGACATGAATTCAGGAAATTGAGCAAGTGGTAGCTTGGACATAACTATCTTATTTCTGAATAAAGGAAAGTCTCTCATGTTATTGCAAACTCACTGTGGTCTGTATTATGTCCTGGTCTCCCAGCTTTGGGATATGATTTCAAAACATGAAGCCTTTCACCCAACTCTATCTAAAGGACATTCTGAGATTTATGATAATGTCCAATATAGTTAGACATACAGAAGCATATTTCTTCCTTCACTCTAATTTTATGTGATATGGAGATGAGGGATGCTTACAAAAAATGCAACATTTTCCAGTATGTTCTATGCCTGAAGGGTCTTGAAAGGCTGCTATTCCTGTTCTTTCCCTCCATCACTTTTCAGGCCTAGTATATCTGCATGCGACTAGCCAGCCTTACTAATGCAGAAGTAATCCTTTAAATTTTCCCTATTCTTACTAGAGATCCTTAGAAGTTGATAATTGGAGAAATTAGCACAATCCATAAATTCTCTTTGAAATAAAGGTTTGTTTGTCATAATTTTCCTCATATGTTAAGTAAATCTTTTAATATAACTCCTTCTATCTCTAACAAATGTCTCTTCTCAGAAAAAAAAATGTCCTGATTTATACAGGGTAAGAAAACAAAAGCTGCTCCCAAACTGTCTGAAGCCAAAGGAAATGAAAGGCACGACACCAGTAGAGGTGCAGAACATGAGAGAACGCCAATCCGGAAAAGGCTGTGCCCAAGCTACAGGAAGTTTTCTCCAAGTGTATAAACATACTGAGCTTTGGCCTGAGCACAACTGAAGGTGTTATTACTTTTTCCTTATCAACCCACATGCATTTTGTTCCTTGCAAAAATTCCTTCTTAATCTTTCATTTTGGAAAGCATGCTGCTGATAACGGTTTCCTCCTACTCAGTTTCTGTACTGCCATGAGAAAAGTACAATTCAATATTTATCTCCTTTGCATTCATAGGTCTCCACTAATTAAAGGGAAAAGTGCCTGATGCCTAGTTTTCATTTAATTTGTAGAAGAAATCATTATGTGGTATTTATAGCAACATGCAAGAAAAATAATGGGTCCAGAACGCCTTCCATCAAATGATTTTATTCACATTTTATTCCATTGCTGTAGAAGTATCCAAGTCAACTTTCAGTTTTATGAATCTCTAATTAAATGAATTCAAGTAAAAGGGCTGGAAGACTTTTGCCTGCAATATCATTGGCATTTAGTTAGATGGGCTTATATTCTGAGGCATTGTAAATCAGACTCTCATATCTTATATTTGATGCACTGCAAGCAATGTTTAGAAAGATAAATAATTAGTTAATGATCAATTTTTATAAGAAGAATTTAAATAACTTTCTTCTTGGCTGTTTTACTGAATAATATACATCCAGCTACAGTGAGAATTGCCCAAATAACAAGTGGTCACAGCCACAAACTCTCTGGACTGGAAAAGATTTGAAAGAAATGTTCAGTAACTAGAGAGGTTTTTAGTCATGTAATCAATTAAAACAGCATAAATCAAAATCTGTTGTTAACCACATTTGATTTCCTGTTATTTCTTTGGAAATTCTTAACAGCCCTTCTATTGGTGGAACTGAAAGCTCTTAGAGCTGCCCTTGCTGAGTATCTCTGAGAGCTTGTTAATAACAGTATCTAAAGAACAATTTCCAGTCATTAATAAGCTGTGGTTTCTGGCAGTCCACAAACACTCCAGCCCTTGCTGGTGTGAAGAGAGAGTCTGATATATTATATTAAAAAACAAGCTGATTGCCAATATTTCTCAAATATGGACTCATTTAACTATAAATTCTATGTTTTGCATTTTTGTTGTATTAGTTTTATTCCAAGAACAAAAATATCCAATCTGGTTCCTCTTTACATAAAATAAGCTCTTATAGTTCTGCTTACAGATACAGATTGAGTTTCTTAAAGCAGGCAGACTCTTCAGATGCTACTGAAGCACAGTATGAGTAATCCTGGTCGATACTGGGAACCATAGTTTAGCCACACCTACACAACTGCAGATTTCTAGCGCCCTGCCCCAGCATCCTTAGGGTAAATATTTAAAGTTTATTAAAAGTCAGCAATAATATTTTATTTTGTTTGCTTTTAAAATTATGATTGTTTAAGCGTAGGTGGTTTTTTCACTTTGCCTTTAAAATAAGTCCATTTTTCCAGTCATCTAAAGTTTATGCCCCCAGCTCCAAAATAGCCAAAATAAATTGGTGTACTAACTGGAAGCCTCAGGTGACTGATAAAATAAAAATAATAAAAATGTTAAAATAGTAAAACACTGGACTTACTCTTTTAAAAAAAAGCAGCAGAGGAAAATCTATGTTTCAGAAAAATAGTGATGGGGGGGGGAGTTCTAATCAGCTTTGTGAACCAGCAACCATATCTATGCTAAACAAAAAAAAATTGTAACCACTTTCTATCATAGATTTAGTAGTCCTTTAGAAGATCACTAGACATGTATTCAGAAATACTGTGGTCCAAATGACAGATCGCAGACAGGAATGAGCAGTAGCACTGGGAGAACTCTCTACAGTTTCACATCTCATAGATATAACCCTCCACTATTCGATCTGCAAATTGACAGGCAGCTAAACCTCTATTGCAGGCATTCACCTATGATATCAATACTCACCTCACAATTGTTTAGGGAGAGTGATTTGTGTTTGCTTCTCCAGCTGACAAGTAACATTTGATGGGAGGAGGAAAAGCCAGAGAAATCAACCAATCACTTTCCTTAATTTGGCTCAGATTAAATT